CTCCCTTCCCTAGCCCCATGCCAGCACTGGGGCCTCCCTCCCTTCCCCTGGCAAGCCCGCCCCCTGGTCAAACTCCTGGAACAACTTCGGTCGAGGGGACAATTTGTATACTACGCTTTTATTATATAGGATGTATGAGGTCCCAACCTTCAGTCAGATGAAATGTTTTTTATGACTGTATTTTAATAGCTGAGTTTCATGGAAAAGAAAACACTTAAGAATGGTGAGGGAAATTTAAGGGACAAATGCCACCTTGAGGTAGAGAGCCAAGTTGTGCAGAAGGAAAACATATGCCACCACATAGGACCTTACTAATGCCAGAGGATATCTCTCCCATTCTCATTCTAATCTCATCACATGTCCCGTTGGCCTGCTCTTGTCACAAGTGACTCCTTACGCTGCCTTGGGAAGCTAGGGGCTGTGCCCACCACTTCAGGGAGGTACATGGTTCCCCAGAGGGCATCTCTGAGTTGCCTATCCCTCAATCCCAGAATCACTGTGACTTAGGCATCAGCTGAAGGAGACAGCTCTGGATCATCTCAGCTGTCATCTTTGACCCCAGCCGCTTAAAAATGATTGTTAAGATAAAGGAAGCCATCTCCAGAGTGCACCTTTGTTTTCAGGCCTCTCAGTCATTTAATATTTCTTCATATCTTGACAGTTGTGACTGTAAGTCCCACTAAGCGTTTCTGGTCTGGGCACAGATGACAAATTAATTCCCTTTGTTCTATGGTTGAGATGTTAAGGCTAAGAGCATTTACTTTTCCTATATTTTAGGACTATTACTGAATTGGACTATAGTCTAGAGTGCAGAGGAAAATAATGTTTCTTCCATATCAAAACTCACATATTATTGTCCTGATTGAGCACTGAACACAGAAGCAGCAGCAGGAGAGAGAGGAAAAGAGAGGTGGAAGGAGAGGATGAAGGGAGGGAGGGAAGGAAGGGCAGAGCAGGTCAGGGAGGGAGGCAATAAGTCTCTTCCTCAAACTTCTACTGGCACCTTGCTCTATGGCCAGGTTGCTTTTCCCACCCATTTAATTGTACCTCCAAGTTTATTAGCTGGTTAGTTTTGAGCTGAGTAAAAGCCTTTATTGTACGTCCCTTTAGCTGATGTATGTTTATGAGGGTTTTTTATTTATATCCTCAAATTGGCAGACACTGGACTCTAGGCACTGATTTTTTTTTTCCACTCACTTCTTCTAATCAGGGAATATAAACTGTGAAGATTAAGTAAGCATCTATTGTTTACTGGATGTACTTACAATGTTTAAAGAAGCAGAGACCAGCATGTAGCAAAAAGGCAAGAATACAAATTAAGAGGTCAATGAAACAAAATTTACCAATGATGTGCTAAATTTTATGGAATTTGAAATAGATAAGATGCAAGAAGTAGTAAGGATAAGCATCAAGGAAGGAGAAAATAAAGAAATAATAAATATAATCATTCACAAAATTTAAAAAGACAATATTAATGAACAACTGAACACATATGAACTAAAAGAGAAGGCATTCTTAGAAAAGAAGGATGTCAAGCATGCAACACGCATGCTCATGTGCAGTTCACATGTTTATGGATTAATGTGTTCTTGTTGTTTCTATAGTTTTGCATATCAAAGTTGCCCTGTTAATAAATATTTACCTCTAAGATAACCAAATGTTCCAGAAACTACTTGCAGTTCAGAGTTAGGAGTAGGTGAATCTTTTACCCCATCCCACCCCCCAGAGCAGTCCAGAGGTGGGCAGCTAAGAATCAGGTGACTTCAACCCTGTCTCTGCCTCTTCACTTTGACCTTGTGTACAGAAGGGCAGCAATGAAAGAACTGGGAAAGATCACCAAGAGCACAGATGTGTCATTAACCCTTTGAGTGCCAACCAATATCCTAGGAACTATGCTAAAATTGCCAAGGCATTTTTGCTGATTTTACAGCTGTTTAGGAAAAAAATTATGAATCACAAATAAATGAAGTTACATATTCAATATCTTCCACAAAACCATCATCTTCACAGCAAGAATTGACATATTTAGCAATATCATCATCACTAATAAAAGCAGACTTAGAACCGGACACTGCAGGAGGAGCGTGATAGTGCTCCCGGCACTTTAGGCGACAGACAGGAGGAGCGCAATCGCGCTCCCCGGCACTCTAGGGGTTAAAGACCAAGACCATCCACACCCTCATCTTCCCAATTACTGAGTATGGATGTGAAAATCTGACAGTGAAGAAAACTGTTGGAAAAATAGTGATTCCTTTCCAATATGTTGTTGGAGGAGAGCTTTATGAACACCCTGGACCACCACAAGGACAAACAAGTGCATTCTAGAGTAAATTAGTCCTGAAACATCTCTGGAGGCAAAAATGATAAACTGAAACTGTCCTACTTCGGGCAAATCATGAGAAGGCAGAGTTCTTTAGAAAAGACATTAATGCTGGAAAAATAGAAGGCAGCAAGAAAAGAGGGAGACCAAATACGACATGGATTGACTCCATAAAAGAAGCCACAGGCATGAGTCTGCAGGAGCTGAGCAGGGCTGTGAGGACAGGACACTGTGGACATCACTCATTCATAGGGTCAGCAGGAGTCACAGCCAACTCAACGGCATGTAACACACATGTCCCACAACCTTCTTTTCCAGCTTTCTCCTCCTTGATATGGGAATGATAATGTTTCCTACCTTAGGAGAAGTGTCAGCCTTATAGGACATAGTTCTACCACAGAAGCATGCATGATTGTGACCACATGTTTGCTGCATGTGTGAAAGGAATATTCCCACGACCTGAGTGGCCTCAGAGCTATGTAATCTAGAGCCAGGCCACCAAACACAAGATTCCAACCTACAATTTGGAGTGAGAGCCACTGCACAGATTACTATAACCTTCATTTTATAGGTGAATTAGCTAAAGTCTAATGAAATTGAGTGGCTTGCTGAAACTGGCAGATCCAGGACAGATAGCCTAGGTTCCCCCATTATTATTTCAGGTTTATCTTTTATACCAAAATCACATACCACAGCAAGGCTTCTCATGTCACAATTACTAATAGTTTGGGGCAAGTGACTTGTTTGCATTTTAACACAATCATTGGTAATCTGCACAAAGGTGGGAGGACATCTCTGTCTTCATGGTCAATTGGGAAAAACTCTTCAACTAGCCCATGAGTGTTATCAAAAACTGAGGTCAAGCCCTAACCAGTTTGGCTCAGTGGATAGAGCATCAGCCTGCGGACTGAAAGGTCCTAGGTTCGATTCCGGTCAAGGGCATGTGCCTTGGTTTCAGGCACATCCCCAGTAGGAGGTGTGCAGGAGGCAGCTGATCAATGTTTCTCTCTCATCGATGTTTCTAACTCTCTATCCCTCTCCCTTCCTCTCTGTAAAAAATCAATAAAATATATTTTTAAAAAACTGAAGTCAAATTTATTGCTTTATAGAAATTTATCAGGCTTAGTATGGTAGCAGTTTAATTACCTTAAATAGGGTAAGTTATTTCACTTATATATTTAGGAAAACATGATAACTACCATCAAATATTTGAAATGCTCCTCTATGAAAAAGAAATTAACCCTTAGCAGCTACAAGTTTCTGACCCTAGCAGATTCTTAAAATATATCCCTTGAATTAGGCTGAGTTGAATTGATCTCATTTTTAATCTCTCCAGAGGCTAAAGTTAGGAACAATTGGCATATAATATGAAATCATAATCTCATATCAAAAATATTACGAATAACATTTCAACCATTAACACAAAATAATGGAATGGGTTGATTTGCTGGGTAGTAGGCTATTCATTTCCAGAAATATTCAGGAAGTCAAACAACAACAACCCTCCTTTTCATAAGTTGGGTAGGGTGGGGGCCAGAAGTGCTGGTACAGTACACTCTGTGGTAAGTATAATGAACATAATACAATCTTTATTTATTGTGGATCTTGAAATACTCAACGGTAGGCATCAAGAATAATGGTCACTGTACAAATGGCTAATAATGAGATATTTTAAAGCAAATTTGTTATAGTGCTTTTTATACTATATATCTAGCACTCAATGTAAGTATAGATTCTTTTACTAAAGGGTGCACACCTCAAAATCATGGGCTATGTCCAATCCACTTGCCTATCAATATTGTCTAGCTTAAACAGTAGGTACTTCATATGCTGAATTAATATCTGAATAAGTGAATGAAAGTGTAAGATTTGGAACTGAATTCTTGGTAATTCATAATATATACTGAAATAAAATTTTAGTCTTTTAAGCCTCATGCTATGAGATTACTTTTTCTTAAGTTCCTTTTTGAGGGTACAGTGAGGACTGAAAAAGTTAATGAGTAGGAACTCACACAAAGTGGTCCTGACTCAAAGTAAACACATAATGCATGCTAAACATTATTAACAATTTGCCTCTCTATGAATAAATCTTTAGAAAAGAGGAATTTTACAAAGAATAACAGATTTCAAAAAATATCACTTTTGCCTCTCTACACTCTGAGTTTGTCACAGGCTCCATCTGATGGACAAAGGAGATGCCGGATGCAGGGGTTATACACAAAGGCTCCTTTGGTACTACCCACCACTTAGTTTTTAGAGTTTTTATGAGGCCCCAATTAAATAATCTGAATGGAAGTGTCTGAAATTCACAAGGAGCCATATAAATATCAGGAATAAAAAAAGAAGTTGAAAACACTGTGTAGAAATATAATTTGGGATTAAGGCCCTCAGCTTGACTTGTTTTTCTGAAACATTTAGATTACATACAATGTTCTTATCAGCGTAAAGATATAAGAATAAGTCATAGCTGATGTATCAGCTTAATGTGCATATTTAATAAACTGAACAATAAAGTAAAACTGAAGCATCTAAATATCAAACACAAGAAATACTGGTAGAAAAGAACCCTTTCTCAATTGGCCTAATTCAACATTAGGCATCCAGCATTCTGATTTCTACTTGTTTCAGGTAACCTTTATGATCCTAAAGTAAGTGCAAGGCCCCATCTGCATGAACATACCGCATTCTGTGACTCCTCAAATGTTAACGTGGATCAGACAGATGTCCAGGCGGCATCTGCACGCACCTCAGCCTCGGCCTCCAAGGGAGCTTCCCTGCAAGAGAGGACAGAAAAAGTGGTTAGTGGACCTGAGAACATTCCTCTGACTTAACGGAAATGGACAGTTTCCCGACGTGGGAACTCTTCTCCTTAAGCCAGTGGAGGCTGTGCACAAGGACTGCACTCACTGCACTTCAGCTGAGGAAGAGTCTGGAGCTACACATCCTGTTGTCTCCTCAGAGCTGTAGTGCTTTTGAAATAAGTCTGTTCTTTAATAAAATTACAGAGCAAGGTCAGGTGTGTGAAACTTGGGTAAGTCCCTAGGTCCCTAGCTTACAAAGACCACCAACAGAGGGAGATGAGTCAGAGTGAGCTCAAATGCCCAGGACACTGCCTGCTTGTCAGGTTGTAATCACTGTTGTCAATAGAAGGTTCTGGACTATAGGCGAGCACTCCAGAATCAAACATCGCTGTGCCTGAAGAATCAAATATGGATCTCAAAATCAGACTGCCTACCTAAGGCTGTGTCAGTATTAAGAAAGAAAGATGGAAAGGGGAAAAAAGATGTTTCTGATATTTCCTGTTTTCTAGGTTTACAGGGGAAGCTGGGGTAACTGAAGAAAAGGAAAAGAATTCCTTGGAACACAAGTTCAACTTTTTCTAACCACCAACCATATTCATTCCAATTTTAGCAATTCTGTGGGAGGAAAAATGAAACATGAAATTCTATGCCTTCCACTTTGCATATATTCCTTACCTCTACCTGGAATGCCCTCTCTCTCCAGGTCTTCAGAGCCTGCCCAGAGTCACACTTCCTACTGTGGATGATGATAGTGAGAAAAGAATCTTCCTATTAAGAACAGCACAAACAATCACTACCATTACTGAATGTCTAACTGAGAAGCCAGTATCTAACAGTATCTATTAGATACTGTGGGCCCAGGACCTCACTTAATCCTCAAAGATAGGAAATATAAATGTTATATCGGCTCAAGATGTGAGGTGGCTCGCTGAGACACACAGCTAGAACAAGGTTAACAGTACTCAGACCAGCTCTTTCTGACTTCACAGTTCCTTCTATGTCTCCATTTTTCTCAGATCCTCCAACATTTAAACCTTAGATTCTTCATTATTTTCAAAGAAAATATCTAACATTTGTGACATGCTCTGGTTCACATACAGAAATAGACTGTTTTGTAGATACAGTCGATGACTCTTCCAGGACAATATAATTATTAAAATGTGGAGATCATCTTAGATCATTTGAAATCTAATCAAATATATGTACACTTTTAAAAGAAGTAATGCAGATATCAAGTTTCTGATGATTTCTAGTAAATGGGGAAAATAAAACAAAGAACCCATTAGAAGATACTTCTGAGAATTTCAGGCCTTAAGAATCTTACTTATAAGAGAAAATAACAGTAAATCTAGTTTCTACTTGGGTTAGAGTTATCTTGCCTAATGTAAGTCAGAAATAAAGGTCTTAATGGTTTTAAGTGGCCCAAATGGTTGCCTGCACATGGTGACACGGACACAGCAAACAAAGTGGCTCAGTGCTAGCTGCATACAACTATGCAAGACACCTACAGCCTTGCGTCTTCTCCCTCCTCTGAATGATTATCTTCAAAATAGAGAGAGGGGTGCATAGATAGTGAGGGCAGGGAGGGAAGGGCTAATCAGAAGAACAGACTTGGTGTTAAAAACAACTCTGCTGAGATCTATTGTGCATTGCCATTTGTTATGGCAAACAAACAGAAGTAATGCTCATGTAATCAAGTAGAAAGGATAGTTGTGCATATAGATTTGTATGCATGTGTATACATGTGTACACACTTATTTCTTCTAAAATTGCCATTCCTTTCATTTTCATCCTGGCTGTAATGCAAAGTACTAGGTTTACAACCTGTACAAATGCTCAAAAGTTAAGTGATTTAAAGAACCATTAAACTAGCAGGGGCCAGTCTCAATCTTATTATTTTATTTTAAAACTAGAGGCCTGGTGCAAGAAATTTGTGCACAGGTAGGGTCCCTAGGCCTGGTCGGCAATCAGGGCCAATCAGGGTCTTCCAGCTGCCAGCTGGGGCCTTCTTTCGCCAGCTGCTGGCCAGGGCCTTCCTTAGCTCCGCACCACCTCCTGGTGGTCAGAGTACATCATAGCGAGTGAGTGAACTCCTGGTCTCCCAGTGGAACTCCCAAGGGACACTTTGCATATTAGCCTTTTATATATATAATCTATAAGATGTAAATAATCACAACACTGCAGATGGGGGGAAAAGTCAGAATTTCAAAATTACACAGAGTGACTTTCTCATTTGTAAAATGAGGGTAATAGATGGTTAGACAATCTTTAAGATTTCTGACCTCTGCAATTAAGCTTTAATTATCCAGTAAATTATGGAAGTTAGTTTTAAATTTATATAAATACTAGAGGCCTGGTGTATGAATTCGTGCATGGGTGGGGTCCGGCCAGCCCATCCCAAGGGCCAATCGGGGCCAGCTGGCCAAGGGGAGGGGCCACAGGAGGTCAGCCAGGCCGGCCCTGCCCCCGATCAGGGTGGGGGGCCAATCGGGGGCTGGGTCAGCCAGGGGGAGGGCCGCAGGAGGTTGGCCAGGCAGCCCCACCCCTTATCGAGTCAGTTGGCCAGCCACAGTGCCTGTCACAGCAAGCAGTCATTCCAGTTGTTCCAGTCGTTCCAGTTGCTTGGCTTTTATACATATAAATTCTAGTTACTTTACAGTTATTTCATATTGTCTTTTAAATCAATAAAATCATAGTTATTTATGCATCAATATCACCACTTTTAAACAGAGGAAAAGTGATAAACTTTCCATGGAAATAATAATATCAATGAAACTAAACCTTTATAAACCAGCATCAACTTTGGAATTTAACACACTGGAGACTTAAGCAAAGTGATAGTAGAACTCAAGGCTTGACTTTCAGAACTCTCTGGGAGATACACAGATCACACTAAGATATTTACTTGGCCTCTTCTATAGCTGTCCCAAAACAGAAATCAGATTTCTCATTAGATACATGATGTGGTCTCATTTTAAAACTGATAGCTTCTTAAATCAAAATTAGTGAATAACAAAACTTATTTTCCCTAAGATATTTAAAAAACTTCCTATCCTTTGATATAAGCTCTAGGCTTATTCGTTTGTTATTGAGGGGGTTTCTATGGCTCTTGACTAGAGAGGCAAGTTGAGATTCCTTATTCCCTGACGGAGCCCATGGGGATACTTGTCCAGGCAGACAGAATCCTTCACTGACAAGAGTGAGGCTGAACATCAAAAAGGGTGACTATTTGGTTCCTCAACCCTAAAGAAATCCTTATAGATGATACTGCCTGGCTAATGAGGGCATATTCTATCTTATCCTGGTAGACTGCCTGGATCCTTTTTGCATATTAACCTAAAAGTCTGTTTCTTTATATCTTCTGTTTATTTATACACATATTTTTGAGGCTTATACTATTTCCCACCCATATTTCAAGTATCATCATGGTGTAGTTAGTTGCTCATACTCTTAATTTAAAAAAAAAATGCACTACTTGCTTTTTTTTTCAGGCTAGACTAGTTTAATTTAGTGAGCTAATTTCCATAAATAATTTATGAAAAAGTTGGACTATGAGGTAAATATAAAATATCTTCAAATATATGAACACAGGACTGAAAATCCTCTGCAAATGGAGTGTGCAGATGACTAACATTTTAAAGCATTTGATATCTGAGAAATTATGTGACTTTCTTAAGCACTGTCTGAGATGAAAAATGAGATTTATACGTAGATCCAATTAATTGCCTAAAGAGTCAGCAATCCCCAAGCTCACCTGCATCATGTCATAAACACAGCCTCACTCTAACCCCAGTGCCAACAGGATCCCAAGAGGTAGGTCCCAGGAGGTAGAGGAAAGAAGGGATGGTGTGCAGTCAAAGGAAATTTGCTCCCTGGGGAAGACCTCCCCAAGTCAGGTTTAGGATCTCCAATGGGAGTCTGGGTATTTTTGTTCTGACAAAGCCTTGGCAACCCATCATCACAATCACTCATGAGTATCATGATGTAAGCCACCCAATTGCAAATTACAGTACAGAGGCAAAAAAGGCTCCTCTACTCACTCTGGAATCCCTTTGGTGGGCTCATTTCCTCAATAGTAAAAGAAGAACCTTTGAAAACTTATCATCAAATCATGTTCTCTACCTCTAAGTGCCCCAGTTTACATCCAACCCCGGACTGAACAAATGTTCAGGTGCCCAGGAGGCAAGCAGGGGCAGGACTCAGCTGGGCAGGTCTGGAGCCCTGGCTTCTCCTTTATCTGCTTTCATTTTTTTAAAAAGAGTTGCTATGAGCAGGCTGGAAGAGGTCAATAGGGGGGGGAAGGGAGACTTATGCAATACTTTCAACAATAAAGATTAAAAAGAAAAGTTGCTTATGCCCTGACAGAGAGGGAGGAAAACAGGGTAGTTCTCAACCCTGGACACATATTAGAATCCCTGGGGAGCTTTTAAAACATACTGAGGTCCACCTGCAGATACTGGGATTTAATTGGCCGGAAGTAAAGCCCAGGCAGGCATCAGTATTTCTTCTTTTATAAATTAAATTTATTGGGATAACATTGGTTGAAGACATTATATAAATTTCAGGTGTACAACTTTATATAATACAAAATCTGTATACTCTATTGTGTGCTCATCACCCAAAGTCTAGTTTCATTCCATCACCATATAGTTGACCCCTTTTTACCTTCTTCTTTAAAAACTCCCCAGGTGATACTAACATGCAGGAAGGCTTAGAACTACTGACTCAAAAGAAAGGCTCAAAATTTAGCTAAAGAAACAGATTTGAGTTGGTATTCTGCCACTTCCTAGCAGTATGAACTTTACAATTCAACTAGCTCCTCCATTAGTGGAATAAAAAGAAAAGATTAGACTGCCATAGTCACCTTATAGGGCTAAGATAAAAATCAATATGGAAATATAAGAAAAAACCTGATTTAAAAAATACAGCTCTACATAAATTCTCTTTTTACGTAAGCAAAACTTCGAGAAGTA